TCTGGCAAAATTCTTGATAACCTCTCTTAAAACCTTAAGGTTCCCAATTTGGGCCATAAATTACATGTCCACCATACTCAGAGGGGAGGCATCATCACTTTGAAGGAAGGAGCCTCAAGTCTGGCTGGTCATGGCTCACCCCTCACTCAGAACCAGGCTGCACATTAGGCTCAGAAGCTAATCCTGCACTTTGTAAATCACTGAAGAAGGCAATGGCAGGGTCTCTGCTCCCCGTAGCAGGGTACTTGTCTGTGCTCACAAGTGACATCCGTTCTCACTTTTAATCAGGCCTCCTCTGAAAGAGATTCAGGCAAGGGCTCCACCTGAACTTCTGCAGAGTAAACTCAGTGTCTGAGGTGGGAAGCACTCCTGGAACTGCAGACACCATCTGAATGCCCCTGCAGAGGGTTCACTCAGGAGAACCAGGGAGCTCAAGTTCTCTGGGAGCCAGGTGAAGGGGGATGAAGAAAGGGCGCACACTGCTCCTCCAGGTGCACCGCTCCAGCCACCCGTCCTCTGCAAGTCCCGGGAGACTGTCAACACTTTTAACTACGGTAAGTGCACACAGTATCGGATTACCATGTTCACGTGTGCAGCTCGGCGGGAGTCAGGACATTCACAGGGTTATGCCACCATCACCACCATCCACAGAACTTTTCATCTTGCAAAACTGACACTCTACCCATTAAACAATAACTTCCCCATTCTCCCTCCTCCCCGCCCCCAACCCCTGGTAACCACCGTTTTACTTTCTGTTTCTATGAATTTAACTGCTCTGGGTATATCATATAAGTGGAATCATACAGCATTTGTCCTTTTGTGTCTGGCCTATTTCACTTACCACAGTGTCCTCAAGGTTAATCCATGTTGTGGCATGTGACAGCACTGTCTTCCTTTTTAAGGCTGAATAATATTCCACTGCATCTACAGACCACATTTCATTTACCCATTCATCCTTCAGTAGATGCCTGGGTTCTTTCTACCTTTGGCTCTTGTAAATAATGCTGCTGTGACCATGGGAGAACAAATATCACTTCAAGATCCCGCTTTCAGTTCTTGTGGGTATATGCCCAGAAGTGGAATTGCTGGATCATACGGTAGTTTTATTTTTTAACTTTTCGAGGAACCGCCACACTATTTTCCATAGCAGCTGCACCATTTTACAGTTTCATGAACAGTGCACAAGGGTTGCAGTTTCTCCACATCGCTGCCAGCACCTGCTATGTTGTCCTTTTCATACTAGCCATCCTCATGGGTGCAGAGCGGTCTCTCTCTATGGTTTCGATTTGCATTTCCCTACGTCAAAGTGAGATTTTGCACTAGAAACCAGTCTAACACAACCAGTGTGATTATAATAATCTTTTTTTTAAATGTAAAAAATGCTAGTGCCCTCAAAATACTATGTTGGCTGGGAGCGTTGTTTCCTGACATCCTGTGATAAGAAAGCTATGAAGCCCAGCCCATGCTCACTGGGTAACACATGCAGTTCCGAACAGATACCGACGCAGGAGGCATCTGCACTTCTCAGCCTCAGCGAGTATTACCATTACCAGCCTCTTGGAAAAAATCTCAGCCCCTACACTGGACTGAGAGAGGCTTAAGAAAACTGTTAGACTGTTACAGGTGTTTGTTATGAAGAATGTTGCAGTGAAAATAGTTCTGAATGGGACAAACTGTTAAATGAAACCTGTGCTTGTTCCTGCACCTGGAATTGGTCAAAGGAACAAAAGGCTGCCTTCTGCATATTCAAACCTGCCCAGGCAGTCCTTTGCTCCACTGCTCACGGTTAATTCATCAAAAAAAAGCAAACACTATAAAAACTCTGTGCAAAATGGTTTATCTGTGCTTGGCTTCAAAAATATCCAGGGAGGAGTGGGTAAGTGGGGGGTGGAAATGAGTTGGTGATTTTTGAAGCGAGGTGATGGGAACATGGACGTTCATTATATTCTCTTTTTAAAAAAATAACTTCTCTAAGGAGGTCAGGGCTTGGCATATTATTTTGGATATTTCAGCAACCTTGTGAGGCATGTAGCAGGTAGGTGAGATGGATATTTCACAATGAAAACACCGAGACTTAGCAAGGTCACTAGTTCAGAAGAGTCCAGACTGGCCCCCAGCAGAACCCCCCACCCGCTGCACCTGTACATCCCTGAGGGCTCTGCCGCCCAATTCTCAGGTCTCACTCCAGACTCCCAGCGCCTGTGCAGATGAAGACAACAAATCACCGCCAAGAACTCAGCAGGAAAGGGCCAGGTAGCCTCCCCCAGCCAGGCACCAGGACTCCCTCTCTGAATCTCCCCACCAAGCTCTCTCGGGCCCCATTTTCCTGACTGTTCCTTTTTGTCCCTTCCTGTTCTGAGCCAGTGTACACTAACTGAAGAATGACGAACTCTCAACCACGTGCCTTGCCAATTCTGCAAAACTCCCATCAAGCTGCAGCAGTCTTCCATCACCAAATAGACAGCTACAATTCTGGATTCCTGGGCTCCACTGTTTGAATTTGGTGCTGAAAAGGTACTATCGGGCAAGTGAGTAACGCTTCCCAAGAACAAAGAATCTGTTCAGAAAAGCCTCCAAAGATACAGAGACATCAGGACCCTGAGCCATGGCAGCAGTGGGAGAGTTTCACTCTAGCTACAAAAGTCAGGATGAGAATCAGAGGTCAGGGCACAAGGCCAAGCGAGCACAGCCGGCGGGGATGACAGCTGGGTATACAAGTGGCCCAAGTGTGAGGCTGCCTGTCTGGACCAGGTGGTTCTCCACCATGCAGCTGGCTGCCAGGTGGGGACTCCAGGTGGAGCCAGAGGACTCTCTCCAGACAGGGAGCAATGCAGGTCTGGGAAGCCATATGTCTTGAGGATGGGACAGTCAGTCCTCCCACTAGGAAGGGCCCTGATATGCGTCTAATAAGGAACCATGTCAAATGTCCGGCACCGCCCTACTTCAGGGCAATGATGACGTTGGCAAAAAGTGGTCTGAGCACAGGAAAAGATCTGGGTGAACGTCCTGCCACTGAATCCCACCCTATTTCTCCAGGACAGAAAACTCCCATAACTCTGAGATAAGTCATCAGGAAATGGTGCCCTACAGTCGAGGGTGGAGGACGGGTAAGTCCTGGTAAGTCTGTCTTGTTCTCATAAGTTTCAGTCCCAACAACTATGTATGGAGCCAGATGGCTACTAGATCTATTGTGGTGGTGACCACTTCATGAGGTATTTAAATGCTGAATCACTATGTTGCACACCTGCAACTAATATGCTACTGAATGTCAACTACAATTAAAAATAAATTTAAAGAAAAAAGTTCTAATACAAAGAGGAAATGCCAAAATCCACAGTGGAGGCATAACAGGGCATCACAGCCTCTCGTTCTGTCCTTCCTCTCCATCGGCCCCCACATGCAGACACTGGTCAGCGACACCTGCTTATGGTTTTAAAAGCCTCTGTGCACGATCACGTCCCTCGCCCTCCTGCACAGCAGAATCAATGTCTGCATCTCTCTGGACCTATCCCACTGGCAACACACACATGCTGTAACCTCCCTTAACCCCTGGACCATCGCTAACCAATGCTCAATTATTCTGCTCCCCTTTTAGGCAAGAGTCCTTGAAAGAACTGTCATGAGCCACCAGTCTCCACTTCCTCACATCCCACTGGCTCCTCCGCCAACTCCAGGAGGGTTTCGATGCCCCCAGAGTGAACAGCAGCTCTGGTCCAGGTCACCAACAAACCCCACCTTGTCAAAGCCAAGGACAAGTGTCTGTCCTCTTGCTGCTTCATCTCCCTGTGGGATAGCTCATTGCTACTACCTACTTGAAAGGCTTCCTCTCTGGGTTCCACAGCACAAAACCTCCAGAGCTTCCTTTTACCTCGGGCTACTCACTCACAGCCAACTTCGAAGTGAACTTTCCACCAAACCCCACCTCCAGCATCCTAGGGCTCAATAGCCAGACCTCTCCTCTTCTCAGTCAACACACTCTCCTTCGTGGTCTCATCCAGTCCACCCCTTCCCGTGATGGAAGCTAAAACTCCAGGACGGTCACTAACACACGAAAGTGACATCTCTATATAACTGGCTATGAGACAATTCAAACCCTTCTGCCCCCAAATTCCACCATCCATCCCCTCACTCTGCAGAATCATTCCAAAATCAGATCAAACCATCCAACTTATAACCCACCAAGAGCTACTACAAAAAGTAGAAAATAATTCCACTGCTTGCTGAGAACTGTACATTCCTACACGATCAGGCTCCTTCGTGCCTCTGTCCTCACCTGTTTCCTCTCCTCTGTACTCACTCAGCTCCAGCCACATGGCCTTTTCTTTGTACCCTGCAAATGCCAAGCTCATTCCTGCCTCAGGCCCTTTGCAAATGCTATTCTCCAGGCCTGGTGCTTTCTTCCCCAGATCCCCATATGGCTGCCTCTTCACTCATATTCAGGTCTCAGTACACAAGCTACCTCTTCGGAATGTCCCTTTCTGACCACCCTAGTCCAGGAGCTTTTCCCTCCCTGCTCTACTGCTTAGTAGGCTAATTCCAATTTGGTTAAACACAGCACCACAGGGCAGGGCTTTATTGCCCTTGCCCAGTCTTAATTCCCAGAGCCTAGAAAAGGGCCTGGCACACAGGCAGATGCACACAAAATACCCTGCTCCAATGACTCACTGGGGCATTCCTAGGGCAGGGGTGGGGGAGACAAACACATATCCTAGCCAGAGCCCCAAGCCTTCCTGAACCCCCAAGAATGGGGTAGTCTGGTATTTATTCACCAGACTACCTGACCACTCAGTCTGGTTTTCAATGACCTTGGCCTTCGCCATCACAGCACTTAAGGGTCTATTGCATAATTTACTTGTTGCCAGAGCAGGGCTCATCAACCCTGCCCACCATCCCATGCAGAGCCTCAGAGGGCCTGCCAAATCCAAAATATGTGAACTGAAGAATCGTGATTTACTAACAAAGGGCTAAGCAAGGGAATGCCACTGGTCTCCTCCACTCACCCAGAAGACGATGTTGTAACTGAAGAGAAGGTATTTGTACCAGCAGCTGACCTCAGCGTTGGAGTATCTATAATAGTGCATCTTCCGAGAAGCAGGATCTGTGGAGAGATGTGGGAGCCATGAGGCAGCAGGTTCAGTTTCAAAACACCTCCCCCAAACCTGCTCCCCGAGGAGAGAATGAAGCCTCCGGGATTCCCCAACTTGTTTCCCTGTGTTCTTGCACTGTCCAACACGGTTTACTACCAACGCCAGCTATAAATTAGGCAAAAATCAGATTAAGTCAACTTTGTGAAAACAGCCCCCCCCCCAAAAAGGAGAATCTTTGAAAGACTTCTGCTTGGCGCCTTCTCGAACATTCACCTCATCACCTCTCCACTGTGCAATGGTTCTTACACTTCATAGGAAACAGGGGTTCAGAAAGGCCATGTGACTTGCTCAAGGAAAAGACAAAAAAATGATAAGCCCCAGGATCTGAACAAGGCAAGGACTCCACGGTCCGCGTGCCTCCACCTCCCACTCCCTGGGGCAGAGCAGCCAAAGGAAGAAATGGGGACTTGACCACTTGGGGAAGACGAGACAAAGGCCAAGTCTGGACAGAATCTAACAGTGGCCAGCGAGGAACAACCAGAATTAAGGCTCCTATTTGTTCACCTAAGATTTTCAGAGACAACCTCCTAAGCTCAGCCCTCACAGAGCTGAGGAAGGTGGAGCACCCTGGCCTAGGTGGGGAGATCCTATGAGCCCAGCCTTCACCCCACTCCTTCTCCCTCTCCCTCCCCTGCTTAACCTCCCCTCCACCCAGCGCCTACTCCCACCCACCAAGACCACTGCTTTGGCCTTAAACTACAGAACACTCTGTAAACTGCAGAGTGAAGGGTGGGGCCACTCTTCCTCATTGTGTCCATCCCCAAAAGCCTCTCAGAGAACCCTACAAAAAGGAGGTGTCCCCAAAAGAGAATTCAGGGGGCCTGGCCCACCCTTTACTCCTTTCCTTTTTGAACGCAATGGTAATCCAGGTGAACCCCTCACTCGTCCACCACCCTGAGCAGCCAAAGCAGAGGCTGAAGGATGAGGAGGGGCGGTGCCTCGAGCTGACCCTGACCCGACCCTGACCCGCAGGGCAAGGAGGGATCTGAGACCTCCAGGGGAATGCACGCACACACACACACACACACACACACACACACACACACCGTCCCCCCGCCCTATCCACCCCCCACTGTCCAGGGTGAGAAGAAAGGCAGAGCATAGCAGGACAGAGGCAACAACAAACAAGGCCGCTGGCAGCAAGGACACCACCGGCCCACAGCCAGCAGTAAGGAGCGAGCTCACGCCTCGCCGCGGGAGTAGCTGCTGCAAAACCTGTCCCCGCAAGGCAGCCTTGGGGCCTGGCTGCTGTGCTTAGAAAGCAGTGCCAAGCAGGGACATGGAAACCACGTCCCTCTAGAAATGGGTGCTAAGACCGCTCAACCATCCTTCCCACAGAGCGGCATCAACAGGCACATTCCGGACACCACCGTTCGCCCATCCCCGCCCTCCGAGAGGAATGGGAGATGGTCAAAGCCTGCTTGGGACAGTCACCAGAACCAGCCAGGCAGAGGCGGCAACCCCGCAGCCCCATCCCCACCTCCCATTCCTGCCATCAGAACAGCACTTCCACAGAGTCCCCTTCAAGAAGGAGTGTGGACACAGCCCTGAAGGACACTACTGGACACACCGGAGGCCTGGCACAGGCCTGGGCCACAAACATGGCTGCAGGGAGAGGACCAGGAGCTCCCAGGCAGACTCCTTCCTTCAGCAACATGACCAGACCCTGGGCAAGTCCTTGACCTCTGAAGGCCTCAGCACCTTCAACTAAAACAGGCTCTTAGTGATAGATCCCTAATGTCACAGATGATAGGGAGACCGGCTGGCAGCATCAGAGTAGCTGGTTCTAAATACAGATTTCAGGGCCCTTCACTCTGGAGGGTCTTCACCCACTTGTTGATTCTTCTCCATGGGAAGGGAAGGCACTCAACTCGCTAGCAAGGTGGGGAGAGCTACCCCTCACCCCGCACCCCCAGTCCTACCCCCCACATAACCCAGGAACAGGGAGGAAAGGCTGCCTTTTGCTCTTGCACTGCTCTGTTCTGCAGGCCAGGGGTGGAAAAAGCAGGTCCTGAACTTCAATGTCACACACAAGAAGAGCCTAGTGTCCACAAAGGTACAGCTCAGAATTTAAACTGAAGGAGGTAACGAGACGACTTGTTTGGACCCCAGCCTAAGCCACATCCTCTGATACAGGGCCTGCTGGCTTCTGGTTTGTAGGGAATGTAGCCAGTGCTGAGCTCCTGGCTCAGCGCCTTCAGAACCTCAGTGAAGGAAAAAAGATTGATGAGTACTCCTGAGCTGCCAACCTGAGGTGTGAGCCACATTACAAAGAACCCGAGGAGGCAATAAAGGCAGTGGTGCTGAAAATACAACCCCGATCAGACCCCAAATTCAGCCAAAACGACTCCAGAGTGACTGTGGTCCCTGACATCTCATCTTATTTGCTAAACTGAGTCACACTGCGAGAAATGAGCTCTCTACCAAATAATGTTCAATTAACACCAAGACCCTTTACCTTAAAACACACAGAGACTGAGTCTCAGCTTCTGCCTAAAAGAAGATGGATAAACTCTGCACAAACACTAATTACCACCGCTAACAGAGTAGGCTCTCCAAAAGCTATTGGGGGGGCGGG